ACATCCATTCACCCACAGCTACTTATTGTACCTCCTACATGCTGGGCACGGCTCGCCATGGCCTACGCTGGCCTTGGCTGGGGAGGGGAGGGCTGCTGCTCTCACAGGAGGGGCCCTGGGGGACAGCGTGCCGGCCTGCAGCGCTGGGGAGCCCGCACGCCCTCCCTGCCATCCCAGGTCGCGGTGAAGGCCTATTTAGGAAACCCTCCAAGCTCAGGGACAGGAGCGCTCGGCTCCCACGCCAGTCCATGGACCCCGAGAGTGAGGCCTCGGGCCAGCCCCCCCACGCGCGTCCTCCCCCCCGGGGGCGCCTCGTGGCAGCTGGGGAAGGCACTTCTGCAGATCTAGGGCGATGATGCCAGCAGGGCAGGGTCTGTGGCCGCTCCCCTGTGTCTTGACCCTGCCTCCCCTTCCTGTGCCTGGCGCCTGGGGCTGCAGAGCACTTGTCAGCCTGGGTCCCACCCCCCACCCCAACAGGGCAGGCGAGGAATGCCATGCGCGTGTGCCCCTCAGCCCCGAGGCCCCGGCAGCGGCAGCTCGCCCACTGGGTGGGTCTGCGGGGAGGTCTCCCCACGGGCTCAGAGAGACGGCCACAGTGAGGAGCTTGTGCCTGCGGCATGGCTGGCCAGGCGACGCCCCACCCCCTGTCTCCCCTAGAGAGGCCCCTGCCCCTCCCGAGCTTGCTCTCCAGCCTCATCTCCCTCTGCTCTGTAGGCTGAGTCTGTCTCTTGGGCGCCGGGAAGGCAACAGTGGGAATAGCCTGGGTCCCTCGGAGCGGCTGCAGGCACCGGAGACGTCTGTCCGTCTGCGTGTGGCCCACCCCAGGCTGATGGGAGTGGAGGCTGCACCCAATGTGTCCCGCCAAGGGCGCCCTGTCTCTGGAAGCTGCTGTGGGGAGGAGAGCCCGGCTGGATGTCGCAGGGTCTGGGTCCACGGCTGGGCTCTGCAGCCTCTTCGCTGGAGGGCCCCAGGGGTCCCTGGCGCGAGGAGAGGGGTGAAGGAGGGAGGCTTCCTCCCGCTGGCCCCCAGGATCACACGGCATCCTAGTCTCTTAGGTACAGAGTCTGGCCACAGTCGCCCCAGACCTCAGGAGCCCAGAAGGCCCTGAGCGCGGTGCGTCTGCACAGGCGCGGGGCGCTGAGGAGCGCACACTGCTTGCCGTGGCCGTGCCCGTAGCTGGAAGGACTGCGGGTGTGAGCGTCAGGAGGGAACAGGCAGTGGAAGCGCAAAGGAACACTATGGAGGAGGTAGTGAGAGGAAGAAGGGGCAGGAGATGGGACAAGCACAGGTGCAGAGGGCCCGGAGGGTGGCCGCCGCCGCTCGGAGGGGCAGCTCACTGGACGAGTGACGCGTCTGCCCAGGAGAATGAGTTCGCTGGAGACAGTGCCCACAGAAAGGAGATGGGAGCACAGAGCCTGCCAACAACAAGCCACACGAGGCTCTTTGTTGGACACCCCGGCCGTCGCTGACCGGTCCCGTGTCGGCGGCGAGGCATGCATCCTGGCACGGAAGCTGCCTGCGGTTCCTGTGTACATTAAGGATTCCGAGGAGAGCGAAACAACAGAGATGGCGTGCGCTGGGACTCATTCCTCAGCGATGTACGTGAATTCTTTGTGGAATACGGTAACGTTTTCAAATTCCGGAAGAACACGTCCTCAAAGTTTTGCGGCCACCGTGAACACACCGTTCCGCGGGGTTCGTGTTTCCTCCACCGCCTTCCCAAGTCTGGCAATCAACAAGATGGCGAGCCAAGCCCTGGCGCCAGCTCGGCGGCCCACTCCCGTGGCGTGCACGCCCCGCACGCTGGCTTCCCGCGGCCACCGTGAGGCGGCGAGCCCAGAGACCGGGAGGCGCAGCCGGGCGCTGTTGCATGGCGTGCCTGCCGCGTAGACAGGGCGCACAACACGACTTCAGGAGAACGGAACACTGCGGGAGAATAATCGGAAGTGGTAGGCGTTCAATGCTGCTGTTCCTTTACTGCAATTTATTTAAGAGCAGGTTGATGTAATTGAACTTTCATGACTGTCCTGAGCAAAAGCCTCCCAACTTCTCCCGAACAGAGCCACTGGCTCCCACAAGCACGTCGCTGCTGTCACCCCAGTGCAGGGAGCAGGAGGAGGAGCAGAGAGAGGGAAGGCAGGTGTGTGTGTGGGCTGGGAAGACGTCGGAGAGCGAGGCGGGAGGGAAGGGAGGGCTGGGGGTCCGGCCCCTGTGGCCAGCCCTCTGGCGCCTGTGAGCTGGAAGGGGCGGGCAGGCTGTCGCCGGGAGCCTGGGCTGTTTGCACCTGGGGCCTCTGACCGCCGTCCCCAGGCCACTCCGAGACCCCCAGGACCATGCGCACAAACAACAGGGGAAGTCGGGCAGGGGTCAGCTGTTTCCAACTCTCAGGACCTAAGGAATGCATTCTTCTCTTGGTTAAACTTTTTAAATGCAAGGAGCAGCAAGATGTGGACATTTAAGGTCTGTTAGGGCTGTGTTCTGACACTGCCTGCAGCCCAGTGTCACCATTTAAGTGACAACTAAATTAAATAGCATCTGAAATTCGGTCTCTCTGGCGCACTAGCCACCTTTCCAGCCCTGGACAGCCCCATGGGACGAGCGGTGAGTGGCTCCCGGGAGGCGCCTATGGTCCTGAGCAAAGTCCGCAGAGACGGATGTGGATCGCGGATGTGTCGCCCGCTTCCCACCGCCCAGCTCTGCACAACCCAGACCGACTGTATGTTATCTGAATACTTCAGGGGACATGGTTCTTTTGCTTAAAAAACAAACATGTCTCTTACGATCTGAATGTGTAGGTGACCCTGTCGGGGTGACCAGAATCCCAGCTTCCTCTGAGGTGCTGACAGTGAACTGGGGAGCCGCACTGACTGGTCCAGGACTTCCCATTCCCGCCCGTGTGCTTTGTGCCGTTCCGCCTGGCCGGACACCCTGTATACGCTTCCCGCAGACCTGCCCAGTGGGGTACCTGCCCGGCGGGGAGGCCCCCGACCCTGTGGGATGGTGTCTGTAGACATTTCTTGTCTATAAAGTGCCCCACAGAGGAGGAGAACATCTATCTACCCTTGTGTCAAGTTTGAAGCCTGCGCGCAACGGTGCCCGGGCACCCCCACCTGTGAGGTGAAGGCGGCGCGCTGTCCCGCTTCCAGGGCGCCTCCGACCCGGCGCTGGGCGGAGGAGCCAGAGCTCAGCACGCGGTGCGCGTTCGCCCCTTTGAACGGAGGGGCGAACGCCCACCGCGGCGGCGCGCACGCCCGCCCGCCTTCCCGCACGGGGGCTCCCGCAGCGGAACTCCCCGAGCCGGCTCCGGCCGGCTGGATGGCTTGAGGAAGCGTTTCATTTCGGGAACTGGACACCAACTGCTAAACTGCGAGGCTGGGTTCATAAATGCAGACGCATTCGGAACTAGACGCCAGCCCGTCGGGTTCCCTTTGCCCTTTGAAAACGTCTCCATCACGTGTGCCGGCAACTCCTTTGTGATGTCCTGAAAAATAAAATAAACAACCATTTCACCAGCAAAATGGGTTTATTCGGGAGTAGCAGACAATCGTAACCCGGGACAAGCTTGCGGCGGTCGGAACGAGAGGCGAGTCCCGCAAAGGGGAGGAGCTTCACGTGGACCAACGGGATGTCTGGACGACTCTGAGTGACAGTCCCCGGGTGGGCGGGGTCGCACTGGCCGGGCACCGCCGACTGTCAGGGCCTGAGCCTGAGAAGGGTGTTCCTGTGTGCGGGCTCCCATTCGAGCTCTGGAGCCACTGTCACTCTCACACCTGTTCTGCAGGCTCCTCCAGACCCTCTGTGTCTGCGGCGCCTGCCCTCGCCGCCCCGTCTGCGGGCCCCGGGTCCCTGCCGGTTCCGCGCAGCCCAGCGGCCCAGCCAAGGCCGCCGCGCCGGCTCGCCGCCAGGGGCGCCAGAGGGCGCAGGCGCGGTCGCCGGGCCGTTTCCGGTGCGCTTGCGGTTTGCCCCGCGCGGTTTCCCGTCCGCCCGCAGCTGGCCGGCCGAGCTGGAGCCGCTCCTTCGGCCAGCGGCTATGCTGGCTGCGGTTTTTCAGCGTCGCGAGCACGTCCATCGTCCCCCTAGGAGACTCCGGCCTGAGACGCCCCTCGGCGGAGCCCGCCTGGCCTGATGGGGACACCGGGCCTCGCAGCTTCGCTTCGTAGGGGCGGAGAGGCCCAACTGCCCGCTGTTGGCCCCAGCCCGAGGGTGGCAGCCGCTTGACAATGTGTCACCCGCTGGAGGCAGGTCGGCAAAACGCAGCCCTGGACCGTCCTCCGTGCTGTGGGTGCCCCCACACGCTGAGTCCAGGAGTGTCCCAGGTCCCCAGAGTGCGGAGAACCCGCTGCTGTGGCCCTGGCCGAGACCTGGGTGTAGGGCACAGGCCCCAGGCCCCAGGCCCCAGGCCCCAGAGGGCATCTCTGAGTCCGCACGGCCTGCCACTCGTGGCTGCAGTCCCGGTTCATTCCACAGAATCCCTTCTCTTGCCTCCGGTGGAAGCTGGTAGGGAGAGCTGAGGGAGCGCAGCCACCCGGCCTCCCTCATCAGAACGGGGTGCTCCAGGCTGATGTCCCTGCCCCTTGCTGAGGGGCCTTTGCACCCGACTCCACTGACCCCATGTCCCCCAAAGGTCCGAGCTTCTGCATGCTGCTCTTTGGGGGTGGTCCTCAGCCCCACCCCTGTTACTGCAGCCCTGGAAGGAAAGGGAGAGAGAGTGGTTGACAGCCACCAACAGCCCCAAGGCTCCATTTCAGCGAGAAACCAGTACAGGACGCTGCTGTCAGGAGGGCGCGGGCGGGCTCTGGGCGTGAGCCGTGGCCATGGCACCACGTCTGTCCTGCCTCCCACTCCAGGGCCCTCGCAAGTCAGACCACGAGTCGGTCAAGAGAAAACAAGTTTAATGCGATAGCCTCCGTCCCCGCCCCCCCGCCCCCAGTGGCCTGCTTCATCTGTGCGGCGCCAGCGGCCCCAGCCCCACCCCGGCCTGCCTGCAGCTCAGACCAGGCTCAGGCCAGCCTGAGGCCCAGGCACGCAGAGCCGAGAGTCAGGAACAACGCCAGCCCAGCACTGCCGCGCCACACCGGGCGGGCTCGTCCAGCCTCTCTGTAGTCGGTGACATTTGGCGCTTCGGTGTTGCACAAGGACCCCCGACAACAGCTCACGTAGACGAAGGGCAGAGGCTTCTCCAGGACGAAGTGCCTGCTTCCTGCCGATGAAGGTTCGTACACGGGGCAGTACTTTGCGCACTGCTTTGAAACAAAGACGAAACGTCTAAACAACTCTAACAGGAAATACAGACAGACAGAAAGGAACCGCGTCAACTAAGAGCAGCAACATGAGCACTGTTTCCACCTGTGCTTGCCCTCCCCTGCCCAGAAGCCAGTGAGAGAGGGTGCCCGGGGGCAGGCTGGAGGCCTCCCCAGGCAGGAAGACACAGATATCTGTTCACAGCTGCTTCTGGGGGCTCTGGCCCGTGTGCAGTGTGGCCTGGCCTGTCCATGTGAAGAGGGAACCTGGTCTGGGGGCCCTGTTTGGGAATGGACAGGCAGCTTGGACTTCAGCTTCTCAAACACAGGGTTGCTCAGGTCTCTGTGACCACTGCAGACACACGTGAGCCACAGCCCAGGGCCTGCGTGCGCGTCCTGGGACTGCAAGCCTGCTGAAGGCACAGCTCCGTGCTGGCCTGCCGGTCCGTCTCTAACGTCGGCTCAAAAATTCAAAACAAAAACAGATCACGCTGCACGGCGAGTTACAAAGTCCATGTGGGGCTCTAGTGACGCTTAGCCTTGACGCAGCCCCCGCACGTTTCCAGGGGCATGGAAGCTTCCCGTCCCGCACCAAGCAGCTAAAGAACGGAACCCGAATTCTCCCGTCCTGACAAGGCCACGGCGGGGGCCGAAGGGGGCAACGCCGGGTCCCGCAGGACACGCGGCAGCCCTCCCTCCTAATCACGCCCACCTCCTGTACAAGCGGGTCTCGGCAGGGCAGGGCGTTTGACACCGCTGAGACTTCACTTGTCATTCACAGACAAATGAACAGAACCCCTCCTATTTTCTTCCTCCTTCCCACACGGCATCCTGGGCATCCTGATCGACCGGTGACGTGTGCCCCTAAGGCATCCCTGTCCTGCAAACTGCCTCCCCTCTCCTGGCCCCTCAGGACTTGGTGCTTCAAATGCAAACGAAAGGTCACTTTCACGTTACTTATTCTCTACTGCGTAACACGAGTCAGAGCCTCATTCCCGCCCCGCCCCGCCCCGCCCCTGCGACCCAGGGGCACCTGAGACACTTACTCACGGCTGCGGTAGAACAATAATAAGTACTGTCGGGACAATTTTTTGCAGTATTACATGAGAAATCATTTTCTTTCTCACAAACATAACATCTCGCCGCCGCTGAAAGAAGGAATAAAGAGGAAAGTGGGATGAGACAGTCCTCCGGGCTGCCACAGGGACACCCGCCACTCCAGTGGGTCCCATCTTCCCACGCCCCACAGCCCACCCACCCGAGTTCCTTGGTCGCCTGTCCTGTGCGCCCCTCACACACCCGCACCCAGACGCCGCAGGGACCCACACACGTCCATGGCTCTCACAGGCGAGCTCACGCGCACCCTGGCACTTCACACTCTACGGCTCTAGGAACACACAGCCCAGGGCTTTGGCGTCTGCTCCCATATGCCCTTCCCGCCCACCGCCCTGGCCCACAGGGCCTTCTTCCGCTCTGGGTCCCCCAGGCCCTATGTCCTGACTCCCGCACTGCCGCCTCCTGTTGGGTCTGTGTTAGGGCAGGACTCACTCTGTCTTCCAGCCACAGTGACGTTCGTCTCCACCCGTGGCAGGCCCGTGACCAGGAGAAGAACAAGGAGGACCGTCATTTCCAGCAGTGCCTGGCCCTGGACGTAAGCACACAAGGCCACTTGGTCAGCTCTGGTGCCTGTGTGTCCATCACAGGCAAAGCCCGCTGCCACTGGCGCCACGACCCTGCCGGCTCTCCGCCCATGGGCCCGGGCCGGGCCTGCCCTGTCGGTGCTGGCGGCCTGTCACGGCTCCTGAGGCCCCTCCATCCCCGAGGCCCCCGCCGCTCTGCGCGCTCACCCACGCCCCCCAGCACCCCTTCTCGGCAGGCGTCCCCGCCCCACCCCGAGGTCCTGCTCTCTCAGGCTCCCCGCGGGCCCCTTCCGCCCTGCAGCACCTACCTTCCTCCCCCACCGCCACGCCCTCTGCACCCATCGCCCAGGGCGTCCCCACAGGATACCCTGAGGGCACAGGACGGCCTGGGGTCCCCACAGCCAGCTCTCTGCCCAGGTCGCCCGCCAGCCACACTGCCTGTGGGCTCCCCAACACTGCCCCCTCCTGGCGTGGTCCCTGGGCTCCCTCTGGAACATTCCCCGTTCTGACATTCCATCCCACCAGGCAGGCGCTGCCCTGTCCACGTCGTGGGGTTCCAGCACTGAGTCTATTCGCGGTCTAGGTACTGGAGAGCACGTCCCCCTAGCCTTCTGCCCTCCTGGTCTTCGTCGTAGGAGCCTGTCTGCACGTGTGCCCCAGCCCCGCTCAGGGCCAGAAGGGGCAGGCCCTGCCCTGCTCTCCTCTCACGTTCTCTGCTCTGCCCTCCCCTCGAGATGGCCCTTTAGTTGTTGTTGCTGTTTCACAACTGGGTAGCATTCATGGCCTGGATATAGCTTAGTGCATTACAGAGCCTCCTTCAGAGAACAGCTGAGTAGTTTACTTTGTTTTCACTTTATAAATAAAGCTGAAATTGTCCATAACATTCTTACAGACACAGGACAATGTAGGACAACTTCTAGCAGTGGATGACAGAGAGTCAAAGGTCCTGTTTATCTGCAACTGAAGCCTTGCCCATCCACACTGGGGACCGGGCAGTTGTGCCTTCCGGTCACGGAGAAGTGTGAGCACCCATTCCCACTGCCCTGTCAGGAGGAGTGTGTTCTCACCCATCATTTGCATTTCCCCCCGTCCATCCAGGTCAAAAGCGTCCTGGGTCTCCCGCCTGCATTCCGGGGCCAGCACGGAATGAGCGGGGTTCCCGCTGCGAGAGGGCCTCTGCGCCCCTTTGCTGGCATCTGGCCATTCAAGTCCATTTTCCTGCTGATCTCTCTGTGCCCTGGGATGTTAGTCTCCTGGCTACAATAAAAATTCAAAACAATATTCCACCATCTCATAAGGGTCTTGGTATTTTTTGCCACGCACAAGTGTTTTGTTCATCATCAGAGATGACCTGAGCTGACACGGTTTGAACAGCGCGGCGCTGCTGCGACAGGGGACACGCCCGCAGGAGCTGGCCTGCTGTGGGTCTGCACAGGGAGGACTGCGCCTCCTAAAGGGACGGGGGCGGGGGACCGTGAGCCAGCTCAGCATTCCAGGGTGCGAGATGTCACATGCGTGGAAGGCTGGTTGTGCCTGGCGTGCCTGATGTGTCGGGGTGGCTAGGTGACACAGCTGCCCTCCCAGAGGCTCGGGGACCGGGCCTGTCCTCAGGTCGGGGCTGGAGCACACGGTCTGCCCCGTCCCCACAGACTTGCATTTTCTCAGGCAGGGACGCCCAGAGGGACGAGGACAATCCGCTGAAGCCGCCTCTGCATCCGCTCATGTCTTCACGGGCCGAGGCTGCAGCCCAGCCGGGAGAGGGCTGCGCGGAGCCAGCCTAGGGTTTGCTCACGAAGGGACCCCTGCCACCGTCATTTGTTTGATGGGTCTGGATTTTGAGTCAGAGTTAGAAAAACCTTCCCTAAAGCGAGGTTATGAATGAATTTGGCCACATTTTCTCCCAGTTCCTTTCCTGGAGTTTTCTTTTAATGTTTAAATCTTCGGTCCTTGCGCAGACCTTCAGTCTTGGATGTTTTGAGGCGACTGCTCGGTTCTGTCCATGCCGCTCACCATGATGCCCATCCTGTCTGCTGTCAGCCTGTCACACGGCGACGTCCTGGAGTCCAGGTCCTGCCTGCGGCTGGGTCCCTTCGTCCAGCACCTGCCGCTCTCTTACCTCCACCACTCGCTTTCAGTGGTGGCGTCCAAAGGGCACCCTTCCTGTTTGGAGGCCACGTGCTGTTTTTCAGAATTTATTGTTGCTTGATTCTTTTTCAGTTTTTCTGGTTAGGAGGTAGAGAGCCACAGGAAAACATCTCTCCCACTCTAACAACAGGAGGAAGCCACACCCGCCACGCCCAGCCTACCTTCTCCGCCCAGCAGGGGTAGAGGTTGTCAACGGAACCCCCGAGTGGCGGGCGGGCGCCATGGAGGGACGGGTCCTTGAGCTGCTTCCCTTTGGCAAAGCAAGGGCGGAAGTGGTGGGGGCTTGTAACGCGGAGCACGAGGAAGCCCAGACACCAAAACATGAACATGTTCCCAAAGGCCAAGTGCTGACAAACATGAGAGCACAGAAGCCCTGGCAGCCTTGGACCCAAAGAGAATAGAAACCCACCTGTGAGGTCTCTACTCAGGAGTCCCCCAGGAACTCGCAGGAAAGACGGGGCACAGGGCACGACACCAGCCAGAGCCCCTTCACAGACACACAGGCACCAAACCCTGCTTCCTTCCGGGCCTTTTCCAAGTCTCCGGGAAAGACCCGCAGCAGCCGGGGGAGGCGGAGAAGCGGAGCCATCAGGCCTTTGTCCGCAGGAGGAAAGCCACTCTGCTCCACAGCAGATGTCTGTGACTTCTGGGGGAGAGGCCAGAAATTCTTTCCTACCCAGGAACACCCCCAGGTATCGGGCAGAATTTGACAGCTTTCCAAAGGAGGAACAGGAACACCCAGAAATCACACCCCTAAGGCTTAAGGGGCACAGGGCCTGAGAGCCAGCAACTGAGGCTGGACCAAGTGAAACACCCCCTTCACCGACCATGCATGAGCGTGGAGGCTGGGCAGCTGTGAGGGGACAGCCCCCCCCGCCCCGCCATAAGACTGCACGGTGCGTAGAAAGTGAGGTGGCCCTGCCCCACACTCCCAGAATAAATTCAGGAAGAAAAGTGAAGGGCCTAGAAAAGCCAAAATTGACTTCCGGCCAAGATGAAGGCATAGGTAGATACGCTTTGCCTCCTCACAAATTAAAAGAAGGACAGTAAGTTTAAAAACAAAAAACAACCAGAACTGCCAGAAAATCAAACTGTACAGAAATCCTACAACCAAAGAGCTAAAGAAGAAACATTCACCCAGACCGGTAGGAGGGGTGGAGACCAGCAGCCAGGGAAGAGAGGATGCACAGCAAGGCGGCGGCTGGTGGACCAGGCGGTCCCACATTTGCGTGCAGATAAGCCAAGAGGAATAGCTGGGGAGTGAAATAGATCACGCAACTCAGGGCTTCAGTGTGGGGGGGGGGAAGTCTCAAAACCTCTGGCTGTAAAATCTGTGGGGGTTGCAGCAGCAGGAGAAACTCCCAGTGTCTCAGGAGAGTCTGTTGGAGGGACCTATGGGGTCCTAGAACGTACACAAACCCACCCACCCAGGAATCAACACCAGGAGGGCCAGTTTGCTTGTGGGAAGTGAGGAAAGTGACTGAAAGTGAGGAGAGAGTCAAGCAAGTGGCATTGTTCCTTCTCGGACCCTCCCCCCATGTACAGCACCAAAATGCAGCAAAGTAGATTTCCCCACCCTGGCAAATACCTAAGACTCCACGCCTAACAATGTAATAGGTGTGTCGAGACAAAGAAATATGGCCCAAATGAAAGAACAGGTTAAAACTCCAAAAATTGAACTAAGCAATGAGAACATAGCCAACCTATCATATACAGTTCAAAGCACTGGTAATCAGGATGCTCACAGAAATGGTTGAGTATGGTCACAAAATGGAGGAAAAAAATGAAGGCTACGCAAAGTGAAATAAAGAAAAACATACAGGGAACCAACAGTAAAGGGAAGAAAACCGGGACTTAATTTGGCAATGAGGAGCAGAAGGAAAAGATAAATATTCAGCTGGAACAGGATGAAGAGATAAGAATTTTTAAAAAATGAGGAGAGACTTAGGAACTTCTGAGACAACTTTAAACGTTCCAACATCCGAATCATAAGGGTGCCAAAAGGAAGAGGAAGAGCAAGAAATTGAAAGCTTATTTGAACAATGAAGAACTTCCCCAATCTGGCCAAGGAAATACACATGCAAGTCCAGGAATCTCAGAGAATCCCAAAGAAGTTGGACCCAAGGAAGCACACACCAAGGCACCTCGTAATTACGGTACCTGAGATTAAAGATGAGCAGAGAATCTGAAAAGCAGCAAGAGAAAAGGAGACAGTTCCCCACAAAGGAGCTCCCATCAGATTATCAGATGATTTCTCAGAAGAAACCTTACAGGCAAAAAGGGGCTGAAGGAAGTATTCAAAGTCATGACAGACAAGGACCTGCATCCAAGGTCACTCTTTCCTGCAAAGCTGTCCTTTAGCCTGGAAGGGCCGACAAAGTGCTTCCCAGACGAGGTCAAATTAAAGGAGGTCATTACCACCAAAGTCTTATTATAGGAAATGTTAAAAGGACTTAACTAAGAAAAAGATCAAAACTAGGAACAGTAAAATGACAACAAACTCGCAACCATCAACAACTGAACCTAAAACACAAAAACTAAGCAAACAACTAGAACAGGAAGAGAATCCCAGAAATGGAGGTCACAGGGAGGGTTATCGGCGGGAGGGGGAGGGGGGCGAGTGGGGGAAAAGGCGCAGGGAACCAGCAGCGTAACTGGTGGGCACGGAAGAGGCGGGGAGGTTCGGGATCGTGCGGGAAACAGGGAAGCCAAGGAACTTGTACGACCGCCCCACGGACGCGAACTGAAGGCAGGGTCGGTGGGGGGGGGGGGGGCGGTGCTGGTGGGCGGGGGGTGCCGGGCGGAGGGGAATAAAGGGGAAAAAAAACCGAGACAACTGTAATAGCATAATCAGTAAAATACACTAAAAAA